GGGGTGGGGGCGAGCGGGCCCCTCCGACTGGGGCCTCGGCTCGGCCGCATTAACTCTCTCCGCCCAGAGCCTCCCCTGCCCGCTGCCCCACAGTTTGTCCCCAAGAGCACAGGCCGGGATCTGAGCCGGCTCTGCGCCCGCGCTGTGCACCCGAAGGAGGCTCCTGAGTCCGAGGGAGGAGAAGACCCCGGAGCGAAGGCTCACGAGTGCGGGACAGTCTCGGGGGAGGGCGGCCGTGGGGAGGCGGGGCTGGCATGGCCGTGTCTTGTGTCCCCGCCCCGCACCTCTCCTTTACGCCTCCCGCTCAGCCCTCCCTGCCCACTTTTCCGAGTGCTGTCTCTGTCCATTTGGCCTTCGCAGTGTTGCTGAGAGGGAAGCTTGCTTCAGAAAGGCACTATTTTAAAATCGGAGAATCGGGATCGTGCTTTTTCTCTTCTTTGTGTGATGTGGGGCTTGTGCTCCGAGCCGTGTCCCCGCCCCGCACCTCTCCTTTACGCCTCCCGCTCAGCCCTCCCTGCCCACTTTTCCGAGTGCTGTCTCTGTCCATTTGGCCTTCGCAGTGTTGCTGAGAGGGAAGCTTGCTTCAGAAAGGCACTATTTTAAAATCGGAGAATCGGGATCGTGCTTTTTCTCTTCTTTGTGTGATGTGGGGCTTGTGCTCCGAGCCGTGATGTCCTTTCTGTGACGTGGTGACGCTGCAAGCTTGGAAAATGTCAGGGATGATTGTCTCCACCAGAGGGAGGGAAAGGAGACGTTCAGGAAAGGACAGCGAGATGTCCATGGTCTCAGAGGTAGACACAAAGTCACCTTGTCGTCTCGAAGTCTTATATTATTTGGCCTTCTCGCTAAAAACTGTGTGGTCTCAACATGCAACAAACTGGAATTACTTCGACGTTTATGTAGACAGGAACTTCAGACTTCATGAAGTGAATTAATATATTCTCACCAGTTAATTAGCATTTTGAACAAAACAGCTGCGACTACTTGGTCTTTAGGGGATTTAACATTTAACACATTTTACTTGAAAGAAATCCTGAATGCTCATGATTTGCAGTAATTTGCGATTTTCTTTGACATGAGGATGCACAGCGTAGGCGTACAGTCTGGGAATTCAGGATTGGTATTTACCTAACATCTGCATGCAAGTGACCACTTATCACTACATCCCAACACTTGCATCGTATGCAGAAAATTAAATGAAATGTGAGTTGTTTTGAGAATTGAGTGCTGCACATGTGTATTAAATCACATATTGTGACAAATCAGAGTTTATGATATTTAATATCAACAGCGGGTTCAGATCCTTGACCTACATTCCATGGTAAAATAGGAAAGTAAAAAACTTATTGATTAAAATCTTTCAATTAGAGTTTGCCATTTAAGTCCAATATTTGTGCTGCAAAGTATGTGTCAAAATATTTTCGACGTGCCGGCAGCAGACAGTGCGTGGCAGTGCTCTCCGTGATCTCACCGGCTGGGGGAATCTTGGTGTTAAAGGCTGTCTCGTGCGCTGCCGGATGCTCAGGAGCATCTCTGATTCTAACCATTCTGGTCCCGTTTTCAGTTGTGACAGTCAAAAGTGTCATCAGACATTGCCAAGTGTCCTCTTAGGGCCCCTTTTGATAATCCTGGTCCAAAGCAGTTATCCTTCCTTTAATTCCCACTCACAAATCCATCCCAGAGCACTAGGTGAGGTTAAAAAGTGTTTTCACAACTTTTTCAGAAGCTTCCTTGATTTGGGCAATTTTTCCCTCTCGGGTAAGTAAGGTTTTTCCCTCTCTGTTAGTGTCCTCTTAGGGCCCCTTTTGATAATCCTGGTCCAAAGCAGTTATCCTTCCTTTAATTCCCGCTCACAAATCCATCCCAGAGCGCTAGGTGAGGTTAAAAAGTGTTTTCACAACATTTTTCAGAAGCTTCCTTGATTTGGGCAATTTTTTCCTTTCAGGTAAGCAAGGTTTTTCCCTTTCTGCTTTAAAATTAAATAAAGGAACCAAGACCTGTCATGTGAAGGTACAGGATCCCAGTAATGAATGTAACTGTATTGTATACCTAGAATGTATCAATAAACTCAATAAAAAGAATAAATAAGTAAATAAAGGAACGCAGACCTTTAAAGCGGTGTGTAGCACACGTGGGTCGTAGTTCACGGGACCCAGGGGTGGTGCCTGGAATGAGCTCTGTGGGGCTGTTTCGCTCTCACTCTGTGGAAAATGTTTTTGCTCTTCACAAGAGTTGAGGAAGCATCAGCAGTACCCTTTAGCCTGAGGAAAAATAAAGCATAAATTTCACGTGTGAGCTACTGATGGTCTGTGCTGTCTTGTAACGCTCAGTCTCGTTTTCATGTAGATATTTGAGTCCCTCAGACCCACACGTTACGACTGAGCTCATACCTGTTTTTTCTTAGATGCGTCTTAAATGAAAGCAGACATTTTTACAAAGAAGATAGATATTGAAGTAATAGTAATCTCTGGGAACTCTTAATTCATAGTCTCCATCCAGATGGTTGACTTCTGGCCCACTCCCCGACAAAGATCTTACGAGTACGACATCCTGGAAAAGAGGCATCGTGAATGACTCCACATTTCCAGGGTGGGCTCTTCCACCTCAGCGTGAAGCAAGCTTTTCTTTCAGTAGGGTACCTGGCACACTGACGTAGTAAGTCTGACATATCTTCCACTCTGAATTTTTCATTCTCCACATTAGAGCTGTCTTCCTTTACGAGTATCGCTCCATTTTAAGTGTACATTATGACCGCATTCATCAACGGGAATTTGTACCTGTACATGATACATCTTGGTTCTTGTTTTTCCCCATTTCCCTTCCTTCCCTTCCACCCCCGTACCCCTTGCTATTTATAAAAACTCTGTTTCTATTTTTTCCTTCTTTTCTCATATTTTTTGCTTCCCTTCTTTCCTTCCCCCCACCCCTTCTCTATGTACCCTTCCCCTTCGGGCCTATTCTTCCTATTTCACATGATCAATCATGCATTTTGGTTCTCATTTACTCTGCAGTTTCTCACACCAGATAAACTCTTCAGTATTTACACTTGTGTCCTATTTACTTCACTTAAGAGTTTGGCTTCAATGTGCATCCATTTAGCTATAGATGTCTCTAGTTTATCATTCTTTATGGATGAGTAGTGCTCCATTTTCAAAACACACACACACACATCTTTATCCAATCACCAGTCGTTGGGCAACTGGTCTGTTTCCAAGTTTTAGCTATTACAAACTGTGTTGCTATGAACATGGGTGCACATTTATCACTGTGGTGTGATGCTTTTAATTCTTTTGGGAAGATACCCAGCAGGGGAATGGCTAAGTCAAGTGGGACCTCTAAGCCTAGTTCTTTGAGGAATCTCCACACTGATTTCCACAGTGGTTACCTGGTCAGTTATTATTATTAGTAGTAGTAGTAGAAGTAGTAGTAGTAGTAGTATGCTATAATGGGCTTGTTGGGTTTGCTGATCTCTTTCAACTAGGGTATTTCTTTTATTCACCCCTATATGTCTTCAAGGCTATTCTAAACAGCCACTTAAGCTCGTTTTCCACGACATCTTCCTATATGGCACCACTTATGCCACTCTTTCCTGCCCTTTCCAAGGCCCTGTGCTCCTGAGTTCTCTGACTGATGGCACCAAGTACTGGCTTCCTGGTGGAAAAGTGGGGAAGTGGAGCCTTCAGCTCTGCCCTCTGCATCTAGGAAATGGTGGTGATGAAGGACTGAGGGAAGATCAGGAGGAAGATGGAAACAATCCAAATCTTCCTCTATAATTTCCGCACGGTCTCTGATTTGCCCATGCAGTTTTTCTTTTTTGAGTATTACTGTCCGATGAGCTCACAAGTGCTCCTCAGGTCAATCCGGAAGCTTCCTCTAGGCCTAAGAACTGAAGTGCGGCTCATTGGGGAAAGGGTTGGGCACAATCAGGGATTACAAAGAAATGGAGCCTTCGACGTTTTAATTTTCGATTATGAAGAGGCTGATGTTAATTCCTTGTTAAGCCCGAACAAAGAGCATGGGTTTTCTTAGGCATGTTTTCTCCTGTGTGTGCCCCAGGGAGGATGGTGGAATTTCCAGGTTACAGTCTCTCCGGTGTGCTTGCCTCCTACTTCTTCCTCCTGCTGACCGTGAAGCATCAAGGTAGGATCCTCTTATTCTTTTACTGTACATTGCACCGTCCCAGCAAAACTAGTGATGCACTGACCTCAACTCTGAAGAGCTAGTTTGCTATTTAAGGTGTAGGCTCCACAGCCTAAACACCTGTACCAAAGGGGCTTTCCGTTCCCACCTGTGTCGCCATCGGAACGTTACTTAACCAACTTGCTCTTTAGTTCTTTCCTCTTGTGATGAGAGTAAAAATGGCAACTGTGCTCATAAATTGACATAGGCTTTAGGAGGCAACAAAATTTATACAGAGAGCACTGGGATCAGCGGAGGGAACACACGGAGTTATCCGTCCATCCTCTTGATTCTGTGCAGAAGAAAGCTTTGGGTGCAAGAAAAGCAGCTACTTATTCCCGTCCATTAAGCAGCATAAAAACACCTTGAAGTAAGACATTAGAAACAACCGTCCAAGAAATGAACTTGGAAATCTCAGTAGCTGAATTCTACCAGACAAAATGATGTACTTTGGAAAACAGTCATGAAAACTCATTGTGGGAGGTAAATAGTAGGGCTCCAAGGAAAGTGCAGCCGGGAAGAGTGGAGCAGAAACCCTGGACAGGGCATCGGGAAGGAAGTTGGGTGGGGTCACAGAGGCTCCAGATTCGGTGCTGCAGAAACTGTGCAAAGTGCTGAGGCCGCTGCCGTTGTGTCCTAAGGACAACGCTGATAAATGACACATTCGGCGCTTGGGCCCAGACTTTTTACCTGCTTTTGTTTAGAATACAAACACTTCTTTCTTCAACAAGAATGTGTACAAATAACCATGATGGATTTCTCTAAAACATTAAAGTAAAGCTCTGCCTTCTCCTGGTGTCTCATTCTAATACACTGGAAACCCCAAAGCAAGCACTTGCAAGGCAGGCCACCGAACCACTGAGCTAAATCCCTGGCCAAACTTAGGACACTTTCGATATTTGGATATATTGTTACTATTTGTATAAACAAATTAAAACAAAATAAATGTTATATATTAATGTTAAAAAACAGATATTACAACCCTGACCCCCACGCTTACTGAAAACCCTTGTATGCTTGCTACGTGACTTGCTCCCTCATTTGACCCCCATTTAATCAATATTACCTGGGTGACTATACTTGTAATCTTATTTGTTGGTCATGGTTCACCCCTCCCACGCTCACCTTGTAATTTTCCATTGGGTCTTATGGTTTTATCCCACTTAGTACCCACCTCACCACATGGCTGGGCTATATGAAACACCTTTGAAAAGTGGGGTGGGCGGGCAACCCACTTTCTGGTGCCCCTTCTGTCTCTCTTAGACAGAAGCTTTCTTTCCCTCAATAAATTTTTCCTACTCTTAAAAACAACAACAGTCACTATATATCCTAAGTTTAGAATTATAAGTCATATTTGCCTATGTTCCATATTTTTATATTTTCCAATACATTTATATGAAGAGTATGCGCTATTTTTGGATAATAGTTAAATATCAGCAAAAACTTAATTATTAGACAGAACATTCAAGAGATGCAGATAAAAACAACACTGAGATTCCACCTCACCCCACAAAGAATGGCTGCTATCAAGAAATTAACCAATAAGAAATGCTAGTGGGGTTGTGGGGGAAAAGGAACCCTTCTCCATTGCCGGTGGGAGTGCAGACTGGTGCAACCACTGTGGAAATCAATATGGAGATATCTCAAACAACTGGGATTCTCTAATTTGACCCAGCTATCCCTCTGCTGGGTATCTTTCCAAAAGAATCAAAGAATCATACCACAGTGATATATGCACACCCATGTTTATAGCAGCATGGTTTGTAATAGCTAAAACTTGGAAACAGCCCAATTGCCCATCAACTGGAGACTGGATAAAGATGTGGTTTTTCTATAAAATGGAGTACTACTCAGCCATAAAGAATAAGAAACAAGAGTCATTTATAGCTAAATGGATGCATATTGAGGCCATACTCTTAAGTGAAATAAATAGGACACACGTGTATAAATACCAAATAGTTTCTCTGGTGTGAAAAACTGAAAGTGTAAACAAGGTTCAAATTGTATAACTGATTATGTGAAATAGGAAGAAAAGGGATAGAGGAGTAGAGAAAGTGGAAAGGTTAGGGGAAAGGAAAGAAGGGAAAAGAAAAAAATATGAGAAAAGGAAAAATGGAAACAAAGTCTTTATAAATAGGAAAGGGAGGAGGGGTGCAGGGAGGGCAGGGGAATGGGGAAAAATAAGAACCAAGATGCATCATGTGAAGGTACAAGATCCCGATGATGAATGTAACTGTAGTGTACACCTAAAAAGTACCGATAAACTTAATGAGAAAAAAAAGAATTACTCGACAGAAAAAATGGAAAAAGCTGTTACTACTAGCTGAATCATCACAGGAAATAACACTTTCATATTTTAATTAAACCGAATTCTTCAGTAAAATGTAGTGCTAGCCCTTATTTTTAAGTTTCTCTCCTTTCCTTTACTCCTAACTTCTTAACATGTTCTTCTTGTTCTTCCAGAGAAACTGCAGACTGAGAGGGGTGAGTAGGGTGCTCCGGGGCCCTGGGTGGGGCCGCTGGAGCGGGTGGACCTGCTGCAGACGCGGACCCGGATGAGAAACTGAGGCAGGCTTTCCCTAGGGCTGTGCTAGCTTAGCGTGAGAGGGACTGGAAAAGCTCAGAGCTCCACAGCCTTCTTCGGAGCCTTCCCCGATGTGTGTCCTGCTACTTTGGGAGTCTCCGATTCCCCTGGGTGCTTCTGAGGGGTTCGGCCACCCTCCGGGCCTGTGTGGTGAGAGGGAAGGCAACTGCCTTCCGGGTGAGTGTGGAGCCTGCAGGCCCGTTTTAGTCGTGCTGGCAGCTGGAGGTCACCCCACCCCTGCACACTCTTGTCCTTAGAGACGCCCCGCTTCTCACTCCAGGGGCCTCTCAACTTCATCTTCGAGGAGGAAGGGAGGGAGCTGTTCCTAGGTGCAACCTGGGATCCTGCCACTGGGGTGAGAACTTCCCTATGCTTTGTGTGGCTTTCCTTTATTGTTACTTATCTATCCTACCTTTTTGTTAGACTGCAGATCTTAATTTACATATCTAAAATAAGCGGTTTTAAAACTCTCCAGCTGGTGCTTGAGCTGCTTTCGGTTTCTCCTTTACCACCTCCCCCATCCTGTCTCCACGGCGCTCCTCCAGCCCGTGACAACACGCCTGTGCCCTGCTCAGATACACTTGAAGCTGGATAAATCATTTCTTGCTTCATCAATACCCTGTGGTCCAACAAGTCACCTGTTCTGGGATGGGTGGGACCGGGCTAGGGGGTACCTGCATGTTACCTGAGCTTAAGTACACCTTTCAGCCCACATAGGAATTTTTTAAAAGATAAGCAGGATTTAAAAATATAACACTCCAGTCTCTGCCAGAATCCAGTGTGACACCTTTGGACCCACTGAGCCATAAATAAAAAGGGCGGAGTCTCAGGAAGGTCAAAAATGGTTCCACAACCTCAGGAAAGACAGCCTGCGAGCCCTGCCCCTTCCTGTAAGACCGCTTCTTCCTGGTGCTGCCCATGCACCTGATTGGACCGAGCTTGTGAGACCCAGATCAGGGAGCCCAGCAGTGTTTGGAGCAGGTTAGCGCGGGCCTTGTCCTTCGGGAAGATTTTAGGCCGAGTCCCTCCTCTGCGCTCTCTGAGCCAGCTTGACATGCTCACTGGAGACTAGGAATACAAAATACAGCTCGGGATGTGTTGTTCCTAAGTTTGATGATCAGCTGTGGCCAAAATAAAACAAGGGAGAAAGCCCGAGCTGCCCTTAACTCTCTGTCGGATAGAGGAGGGCTATGTCCATCAGTGAAAGAATCAAGCTCCATTTGTACATATATTATTGTTTTGCATTTTCTACTTTGCCAACCTCCCAATTCCGTATTTTAAAATGTTCATCATTAAATTTAGTGTTTGCTTATAATCCCATATACATGGAACCTTGAGGAAGTAAAACAGTGGCTAGACCTGACTTAGAAATACTTTAAGGAAGTTTTCTTCAATTTTCATTACTAAAAGCATACCTCACACTTACTTTAATTAATCCCATATACATGGAACCTTGAGGAAGTAAAACAGTGGCTAGACCTGACTTAGAAATACTTGAAGGAAGCCCTTGGCCATGATGAAATCAGAGACCGTGATTGGCTCCAATGCCTTCACATCTCACAAACCCGTGCCCCTCTGCTCACGCAGCATGATCATCTCAGCACTTTATTCAAGGTATTCGTGTAACCCCACAACAACCTTACGATTTTCACGGGAGTACAACAATTTTTATACTTTAAGAAACTGAGGCATGGACAGATTAAGAAGTAGAGTCGTGGAGACCTGACGTGATTAAGTGTTCATTTTACTTTGGGAGTTTCAGTTGAAAAATTATTTCATTATTGGTCTAGCTACTGAATAAAATTACAGGTAGGAGCAGGTAAAAGTTCAATTAGTGACATTTTCATACTGGCATGCATCTTGGGAAGGTTTTTCCTTGAACAGGGACAACCTGTATCCTGAGTCCATGAGACGCCCACCTATCCATAGGATGACCTTGAGCCTCAGTCCACCCCTAGGTTGCGTGTGGGTTCAGAACCTCACCAGAGACAACCTCGTTGATGGTGTTACTTACTCCATTTTGATCCATCCATTGTGTATGGTCTGCTGCATTCAACAGCTTCCCTAAAAGTGATTGGACCTTCCCAGCCCATCCTTGTCCAAGTAGGAGAAGACATTCAGCTGACCCGTTACCTGTCCCCCAAGACTAATGCCCAGAGCACGGAGGTGAGGTGGCTCCGATCCCTTCGGTACCCCGCAGTTCATGTGCATATGGATGGGGACCACGTGGCTGGAGAACAGATGTCAGAATACAGAGGGAGGACTTCACTGGTGAGCAACACCATCCACGAGGGGAGGCTCACCCCGCAGATCCACAAGGCCAGAACCCCCGATGATGGGCAGTACCGGTGCCTGTTTGAAGAAGACGGCGTCTACCAAGAGGCCAGCTTGGATGGGAGGGTGGCAGGGAAGGATTCTATGTTTTGGATCCAACACCCGTTCCTGTCATTTAAATGTGATTGTTCTTAGAAAAATCTCTCTGTCATCTGAAATTTTCTTAATTTCTCTTCATTGTCAATATTATACTGAACCTCCAGGAACTATCATAGATACTTCAAGTCCACAAATTCAGATGAACTAAATTTAATACTATGTGTAGAGAACGTGTATCTTTCTGAATATCTCCACAAAGTGACCCATATTTAGGAAAAACTGAGAATTTTACTCCATAATGTTTTACCAGACTTATTTAACAGTGTGCTATTAAAATTCTGGAAAATATGTAATTACTAGCAAGTGTAATAATTTGAAGACTAAATTATATTCACAATGTAAACAAACATCTTTAAGACTGGCAATCTTGGCATGAACAGAGAAGGAAAGATAAAATCGCTTCCTAGAATCAATTTCCACATTATGCAAATATCATTGAGGACATGCTAAAATCTTTGATACTTTAGATACTTCTTACATGGATTTTGAATCCAAATTAGTAAGTATATTTAAGGAATATAACAGGAGCTCATGTTGATATGTTAAATGGGCCCCATCATTTTCTGCTGTTAGACATGGCTATTTATGACTTTGGTCTTTGAGATTATCCCTTTATTCTTTTTTATTGTGTCTATGTGATCCATGCTACGTTAAAAGTTATTCTGTTCTCAGGGACAGGAAAAAAAGTTGGGAGTTGAAAATTTAATGTGCCTCTTAGTCTGTTCCAGGATGACTTAGGATTAAAAAACATATAACAAATCAAGAAACAAACAAACAAAATAAGGAAAACCTCCATCCACCCTCATGTCTAAGGGGAGTGCCACGGCCCCTTAAGCTTGGCTCTCTTCCCCACACCTTCCGTGGCCCCTCTCCTCGAACTCAGGACCCCGTGACCATCTGCAGGGGCCCCAGGCTTTGCTTCCTCATCCTCTGTTCCCCAGCTGTGGGTTCTGCCCCGCTGATAACCGCAGAGGGGCAGAGGATGGAGCGAAACAGCTGCTGTGCACTTCTGACGGTTGGTTCCCACCTCCCCACGTGCAGTGGAGGGACCCAGGAGGAAGGACGATGCCGTGGGGTTCAGCAGCCCTGCGTCAGGGCAGCCGTGGGCCGTTCCACGTGGAGTCGCTCCTACTGGTCACAGGCTGCTCTGTGGCGAGCGTGACTTGCTCCATCAGCAACCCCCCTGGGTGAGGAGAAAAGACGGCAGCCTCTTCTCTCTCAGGTTGGCGACCCCATATGTTCCTCTAGGTCTGGAACTAAATATATGACCAACTCAGACTTTCTCATTTTATTACTCTTCTTTAAAATTTAAACAGCTTCTTTCTCTCTGACTAGTATTCTGCCATATCTTGCAAATCTGGTCATCAGGACTCCTAGGTATCCTACTCCTCTGAGTCTCTCATTCATACCTTAGACTTAGAGAGCCCTAGACATACACTTATTGTTGGGCATACACTAAATTCTAATAACTGACTCTAATTTACAAGATCTATTCACTCAATTCTTATGTGAAAACAAGTGTAGAAGTTTTTTTCTGCTTGGTGCAGAAAAAATAATTTTCCCTAACACCGTCTTCTTGGGTCTGGTCTGAGTAATTTTATCCTTTGCCACCCCAGTTATTCGATTGTGTGATATAATTTAAAAAGAGAAGAGACAAGATCAGTGCGTGTGTGTGTTTGCACGCATGCACACTGCGGAGAGGAGCAAATGCGAGAGGAAGTCAAAACCTTACAGCCTTTCCTCAGCAGCTACAAAGCAGTAGACCAGCTGCTTACCTTCCCAGGAGCCGCTCAGATTGAAAGGACAATCTTGGTATTTTTCTAGTTTCATGATTTGCTGGAATTCTTGGGTTTTCCTTTCAGAGTCCAAGATGAGTTTTTCGTGGAAGATACTGCCTATTTAGGGGTTGCTTCTTGCTGTGACCATTGGCCTGACCAGGAGGAGGAGCTATAAAAAAGGTACCTTAGACGAATAGAACCAGTGTGGAGTACACATCGCAGTGGGACTTACGGTGGCTCTCCTTGACGTCTCTTTTCAGTGGTCAAGGATAGAAAGCATTCAGAGAGTATTCGGTCATTATTGAATATTGAGAGCCCTGGTTTATATTCCTGTAACCGGGCTTAGTTATGGACAGATTTAAAGTTAACAGTGACAATAGAAGCAACAGGACTAAAAGACAATAACTTGATTCTCTATCACCCGTTCCCTAAACAACTAGTCAAGGGAGGAGAAGAAAAAATGTTAGTGGGATAACTGTCCTGCTGTTGAGGATGAGGGCTGAGATTTTCAATGAGATTTGGTTGGCATGAACACTTCCCTAAGACCTTTACAAACGTGATGTATTATTTATTGGCAATCCCTGCTCTGCCAGTGGAGGTCTTCTTACATGTTCATAGGTTGTTTTCTGTTCCTTATGAGCTCTACTGGAAATTCCATATGTTACTAAAACATCGATTTTCTTGTTTAGGTATTAATAGCATGAAATGAATACTTTCCAGCATTGATTCGTTATCAGATGGACTTTTTCCTTGCAGTGAATGTGACTCTGGATGCTGCCACAGCTCACCTGAAATCGGCTCTCCTGCAGGAGCACAAGAGCATAACCCGTGAACACTCAGTCAGCCAGCTGTCCCGCCGAGAGCTGACGGCCTTCTCTGTACACCGGGCTGGGAGAGGCTTATGTCAGCGAGGTGGGACGACAGCTGGACGTCAGGGATGAGAGAGAATGGGCTCTGGGCATTGAGGACAATGTCTTGAGGAAGAAAGTCATTTACATGAGTTGCTATGGAAATGAATACTGAGCCATCAGATCTCCTCCAAACCTCTCCCTAAGGTGGCCCCTGGTCATCAGTCTCCCTTACTGTGACTCGGGATCCTTCTCCCTTGTAACCTGACCAAGTGCCCTCTCTTCACCTCCCCCAAAGCTTTCTTCTCTGAGAATTTGCACCCCCTTTTCACTTACTGCTTACCTGGATATCTTTTTTTCTGCAAAATTATTTAGCAGTTTATACTTGTTCTTTAGTTCTTATAAATATTGAATTCATTTCTTGTCTGTATTTTTCTTATAATTTTATGCTGTCTTCCATTTATAGAAATTTAAATTATCATAGGATCAAAACTGTCAACATCATCTTTTACACATTCATTGTTTTACAGCACACATTTACATCAATATCACAAAAATATTTCCTTTCCCTCTCCTAATAATTTTTATACAAAATGTACTGAAATGTAGCATAATTAGAAACTTTTATACTGCTTTTAAATGCAACACTCCATAAATTTTAAAAAACAAATAAACCTGCAAAACTAGCACCCAGATCAGGAGATAAACTTAACTGTAATCCAGAAAAATCTAGCTTTCTGTTTCCAGGCAATAACCACCCAAGGATAACGACTATTCTCATTTCTAACCTCATAGATTAGCTTTGATTAATTATACATACATGTAATTTTTATATCTGACTTTTATGAGCCAAGGTTGTGTTTGTCACATTTTTGCATGTAGTTAGTTGTGTACAGTTGTATATTTCTATATCTTTTGGGGTATACTTTTTACAATTCAATCTATAGAAAAGCTTTGGTATAAAAGTCTATAGCATGTTCAACATATTTTTCCTAATTGTATTCCTTTATTGCTATACCATTAGTGAATATTC